GCTCTTTGATTAGAAGTGAACTATAAATCCCAGCAACTACAACTCCCAAATTACAAAATCAATCCTCCCCCAACCCCACTAGCATTCACATTTGGGTGTATTGGGTATTTGTGCCCAGTTTGGTCCAGTGAATGAAAATGCATCCTGCATATCAGATATTTACATTATGATTTATAACAGTAGTAAAATGACTGTTATGAAGTAGCAATGAAAACAATATTATGGTTGGGGGTCACCACAACATGAGGGACTGTATTAAGGGGTCATGGCATTAGGAAGGTTGAGAACCACTGGCCTAGAGATTCCAAGAGAGAATGTATTAAGGCATCTGTAAATAGTCAGATCTGCAACAATTAGACCTGCAATTATATGTGGATAGATCCTTTAACATTTAGATCACTGGTTCCAAACCTTTTTTGACCAGGGACCATTTGACCAGACCACTTTGACCAGGGCCCACTCTCCAACATTAGTACCAAGAAGTTTTTGGTCAACTTTAGATTTGGTTTGGTTATTTGGGGTGCTGATTCAGAAAATTGCATTGGATAGACCACATCAGTTCTAGTTTCTGATACAGAACATATGCCAGCCAGTAGTTGCCATCTGCTAACCCACAGTAAACCATATTTCACAATCTAGAGCTGATGTAGTAGTAGCAATCTTTCATGGGTAGTCAGCCTCTCCCCTCCCAACATCTCTGTTGCCTTGGCACTATAAGAGGGTTTTGCAAGACAAGTCGCTCTTGTTGCCGCATGTTTTTGAGGCAACGACGTAGTAATGGTGAGGTCGTGGCCCACATTTTGTTCTTGTGGACCACTTTTTTTTGTCGTGTCAGGAGCGACTTGAGAAACTGCAAGTCGCTTCTGGTGTGAGAGAACTGGCCATCTGCAAGGACATTGCCAAAGGGACGCCCGGATGATTTGATGTTTTTATCATCCTTGTGGGAGACTTCTCTCATGTCCCCGCATGAGGAGCTGGAGCTGATAGAGGGAGCTCATCCGCCTCTCCCCGGATTCGAACCTGTGACCTGTCGGTCTTCAGTCCTGCCAGCACAGGGGTTTAACCCACTGCACCACCAGGGGCTCTTGTGGACCACTGGTGCTCAACAGACCACAGGTTGGGAACCACTGATTTAGATTAACATCTAGAGCAGGTTTGTCACTGCATTAGGAAGGAAGCCACTAGTTGTTGAGGTCATTCAAAGAAAAATGGCTTTCTTTGAGTGACCCCAACAAAATTCTCTTACATCTATATGATTCCTCTTTGGGTTTTCAGCACTGTTGAAACACTCTGGTTGTGATGGAGTAGCTCTGTGCTTTGAGAGCTGTTCCAAAAGGAGAATTCCATGAAGTGCTGCTTCTGCTGTCAATGCCACATTTGGATGCCAAATATCACACCTGGCAAAACTCTATGCAGGGGACCTCTCAGGGTTGGATGAAGCCAGTTGAAGAGAAGCCGTGCTTGGGCTCTTGCCACTCTATAACTTGCAGACAGTCTTTGGACAGAGGCTGTCTCAGCTGCCTTAAAGGGAGACCAGCCCTGCCATCATGAGATGGGTCCTTGTTACCCGGGGGACACAGGACACCGTGTTTCAGCAGGACCAAGATAAGGCCGGAAGTTTTCTCCTCACAAAAGCCTCCCCTGATCTCCTGGCAAGAGAATATCACCCTGAACTTTTGACAGTTCCGTCTTTCCTTTCCTTTTCGAAAAGTTGCAGCTGGATCCCTTTCCTTAAATACCCTCCTGTGTCCAAACAACAGCGTCCACTTTCTTTTCCCAACTTACTTCCCTCTCACTAGGACTTTTAATTAGGCCTTCATTCATCATGAATGGAGTTCATTCAACACGCTACAGCATCTCTGGCTTTCACCTGTCCCGTCAGGAGCATCTTCTTCTTCCGAGAAGCCTCTGTCTTTAGGAGCAAAGGAAGCCTTTTGTGAACTAATTCCTCAATTGAGAGCTTGTCCGCTTGGTATTTATTGTGCCTCTTTATGGGGTGGGGGAAGCAAAAGCTCTTTGGTGAGGGCCCTAGGGATTTTCCAAGCAACATCAGAGTGACTTAGTGATTGGGGGGGGGGGGGGAGAGCAGTATGTGATAAATCCATGCTAGGTTTTGCTCCAAAATTTTAAAGGCAGACAGACACATTTCCAATATTTTTCATGTCAGGAGCGACTTGAGAAACTGTAAGTTGCTTCTGGTGTGAGAGAATTGGCCATCTGCAAGGACATTGCCCAGGGGGTGCCTAGATGTTTTGATTTTTTACCATCCTCGTGGGAGGCTTCTCTCATGTCCCCGCATGGGTAGCTGGAGCTGACAGAGGGAGCTCATCTGCACTCTCCCCGAATTCAAACCTTTGACCTGTCAGTCTTCAGCCCTGCTGGCACAAGGGTTTAACCCGGGAGCTCCTAATACAGTGTTTCTCAACCTGGGGGTCAGAACCCCTGGGGGGGTCGCAAGGGGGAGACAGAGGGGTCACCAAAGATCATCAGAAAACACAGTATTTTCTGTTGGTCATGGGGGTTCTGTGTGGGAAGTTTGGTCCAATTTTATCGTTGATGGAGTTCAGATTGCTCTTTGATTGTAGGTGAACTATAAATTCCAGAAACTACAACTCCCAAATGTCAAGGCCTATTTTCCCCAAACTCTACCAGTGTCCACATTTGGGCATATTGAGTATTTGTGCCAAGTTTGGTCCTGATCCATCATTGTTTGAGTCCAAAGTGGTCTCTGGATGTAGGTGAACTACAACTCCCAAACTCAAGGTCAATGCTCACCAAAACCTTCCAGTATTTTCTGTTGCTCATGGGACTTCTGTATGCCAAGTTTGGTTCAATTCCATCGTTGTTGGAGTTCAGAATGCTCTTTGATTGTAGGTGAACTATAAATCTCAGCAATTATAACTCCCAAATGACAAAATCAATGCCCTTCTCCAACCCCACCAGTATTCAAATTTGGGCGTATTGGGTATTTGTACCAAATCTGGTCCAGTGAATGAAAATACATCCTGCATATCAAATATTTACATTACGATTATAACAGTAGCAAAATTACAGTTATGAAGTAACAATGAAAATAATTTTATGGCTGGGGGTCACCACAACATGAGGAACTGTATTAAGGGATCATGGCATTAGAAAGGTTGAGAAACACTGTCCTAATAGTACTATTAAAGTTCAGGCTAAAATCCAGAAAGTGTGTACATCGTATTAAGACACAGGAGGAACCAAACACTCAATTTTCCTCCCTTTTTCTTTCTATAGCCATAAAATTACAGAGTTGGAAGGAGCTTCATGCCCAGGTTCAAGTCTTTAGCCAAAACATCTCTAGCAGGTAACATTTTTTTAAAAAGACATCAGGTGAAGGCAACCACACCAACTCTCTAAGCCAATAGTTGTGCTGCTCTTTTTGTCAATGCATTCCTTTTAATATTCATTTGAAATGTCCCCTTCTGTATTTTGGACCATTAGACCTGCCCCTTTTCTCTGGGGCAGCAGAGTAGAGGTCTGCCCCATCCTCTCTATGAAAGCCCAAAGAAGAAAGGACAAAGGGCCAAAAGCTCTCCAGGAAGAAGACTTTTAGAAACTCATTATAGGATCAGATTTTTAGCCAAAGTGCTTTCTCCCTCTCTTGACAGCATTAGAAAACAGGATGAAGGGGAAAAAAGCAGAAAAGGAGGAGCCAGCAGTGTGATGCTGCAGCAAAGAAGGTGAATGCTATTTCAGCCTGCAAGTTGAGGTGTTTCATCTCAGAACACAGACGGTTTGGCACATAGTCACAGAAGGCTCATAAGAGGTATGACAACAAAACCTATAGTGAGGGATTGATGATTCAGTTTGGTGACAAAAGACTAAAGAGGACATGAGCGCCCTATTTCAATAGTGCAAGGTCGTAGTGTACAAAAACAAACAAACAAACAAAGCAATTGTTGCGTGTACAACACAACAGGTGTGTACTCTATCACCATATTTAGAGGTTTCTGAAACAGTGGTTATGTGTGCAAATGCAGGTTGTATGTGAAAATGACAATTGGCCATTTTAATGTAAGGTTCACTTGGAGTTCATTTATGCTGTAGAATTACTTTGCATGTGTGTGTATTTGTGTGTGCGTGTATATGTGTGTGAGTGTCTGTCTATCTATCTATCTATCTATCTATCTATCTATCTATCTATCTATCTATCTCAGGAGCCCCCAGTGAGCTGTTAAACTTGCTAACCAAAAGGTCGCAGTTTTGAATCCGGGGAGTAGCATGAGCTGTTAGCCCCAGCTTCTGCCAACCTAGCAGTTCAAAAACATGCAAATGTGAGTAGATCAATAGGTACCGCTCCGGTGGGAAGGTAATGGCACTCCATGCAGTCATGCTGGCCACATGACTTGGAGGTGTCTATGGACAATGCCGAATCTTCGGCTTAGAAATGGAGATGAGCACCAACCCCCAGAGTCGGAAATGACTGGACTCAGTCAGAGGAAAACCTTTACTTTTGTCAATGACCAGCACCAAGCTCTTTGAAATCACTTTAACTGCCATGGCTCATTGCAATTGGATCATGGGAGCTGTAGTTTTACAAGGTCTTTATCCAACTTTGCCAAGGCGTGCTGGTGTCTTACCACACTACAACTTCTAGGATTCCATAGCATTAAGCCTCAGCAGTTAAAGTGATGTCAAACTGCATTAATTCTACAGTGTAGATGCACCCTAAGTCATGTTTCAAAGGCTTCCAGCTCTGTGCATCTAGATTCTCTAAGCAATGAGGTACTAGCGTTTCCTGCTATGGCTGGTATTTAGTTATGCTGCCAATGAACATGTAGAATTTGTTAAACTCCTTTGACATATAGATATATTAACAGATCCATCTCTTCCACTTTTTTTCTTTCCAAAGCTCATCTAAACCACTAAATTGCAATTTCTCTGGCTCCTGGTCACATGAGGGAGCGTTGCTTGTATTATGACATTCTCAAATTCTCTCATTTTAACCGCTGCTTCCCTTTGAGCCTTCTCACCTTGATGTGCCTGCTGTGGAGGCTTTTTGCTGTCTCGCAACTGCTGATCTTTTCTCCGCGGGTCCACTTTTGACTCAGCAGTTTGCCTCGGAACTCATTTTCTGAGGAGAGAAGAGAAATATAGCACATCAGCAATGCAGGTGGGGCAGGAAGGCTATGAGCAATACTCAAGCACGTGTCAAGCAAAGGACTTTTTGGGGTGGTACAAGTCAAGATCCAATAGAGATGTCTCCTGCTTTTTGAAGACCTAATTTAAAGACCATTTTGAACTATTCCCCAAGTTGTATATTCAATGCATGGTCCACTGTTTCACAATTTATTACAATAAATCTGAATTAAAATTCAACCAATTTAAAATGCAACTGGATTAAACCAAATTAAAATTCAATAGAATTAAAATGCAACTGAATTACAAATAAAACCACTTTAAAATGGAAGCATAACATCTGGCTTCATATTACAGTCACACCAATAACGAAGAATAATTGGGTGACATTTGTACTGTGTGTGCATTTCCACATGAGGAGTAATGCATGGATTTTGATTTGAAAAAAAAAACCCACCTTAAATTGTATTATAATATCATGCAAAAGAACCACACAACTGAGGCCGGATCTACACTGCCCTTTATCTCAAGATCTGATCCCAGATTATCTTCTTATCCCAGATTATCTGACAGAGAAGACTCATTTAATCCAGTTCAAAGCAGATAATCTGGGATAAGATCCTGGGATATAGAAAAGTGTGGATCCAGCCTAAATGCACAACCACATATGTATCTTATCCATGTGTGATGATCTATCTATCTATCCATCCATCACCTATTGCAGTGGTTCCCAACCTGTGATCTGTGGACCACCAGTGGCCCATAAGAATGAAAATATGGTCCACGGTTTTAGCATTACTACACTGTTGCCTCGAAACCATGTGGCAACAAGAGTGACTCGTCTTGCTAAACCCTCTTATAGTGCCGAGACAATAGGGATGTCTGGAGGGGAGAGGCTGACTACCCATAAAAGATTACTACTACCACATCTGTTCTAGATTATTAAACATGGTTTTCTGTAGGTGAGCAGATGGCAACTACGGGATGGCGTATGTTCTGTATCAGAAACTAGAGCTGATGTGGTCTATTCAATGCAGTTTTCTGAATCAGCACTCCAAACAACCAACCTGGATCGAAAGTTGACGAAAAACTGATTTGTAACCCTTTTCGTACTAATGTTGGAGAATGGTCCCTGGTCAAGTGGTCCCTAGTCAAAAAAAGGTTGGACACCACCAATCCACTGCAGTTCCCTATCACTTCTCAATCCACTATTTAAAACATTACATGCAAAAAAGCATTTGACAAACTATGCATAATTCAAACATCCTGAATAGTCACAACTGGTTGTGATCCTAGGTAAGGAATAAAGTTTCAGAGAAGACATATTTCAATATTTGGGAAGTCTGACTTGGCCACGGTAGTCCACGCTCTGGTTACATCCCGTTTAGACTACTGCAACGCTCTCTACATGGGGTTGCCTTTGAAGACGGCTCGGAAGCTACAACTAGTCCAACGTGCGGCAGCCATGATACTAACAGGAGTGGAGCGCAGGGAGCATACAACTCTTTTGCTGCACCAGCTCCACTGGCTGCTGATTTGCTACCGGGCTCAATTCATAGTGCTGGCATTGGCCTTTAAAGCCCTAAACGGTTCTGGCCCAAGCTGCCTATCCGAACGTATCTCTGCTTATGAACCCACCAGTACTCTAAGATCTTCTGGGGAGGCCCTGCTCTCGATCCCGCCTGCATCACAGGCATGGCTGGCGGGGACGAGGAACAGGGCCTTTTCTGTGGTGGCCCCTCAGCTTTCCCATGGACATTAGATCAGCCCCTTCGTTAATGGTGTTTCGAAGAAAACTAAAAACCTGGCTGTTCGAACAGGCGTTCGGTTAAACAATGCAATGTACATGATGAATATAGGAAACGGAATTATGGAAGACGAATTGGATCACGATTCTAGTTACGAGACATTAATGTGTTGTTATTGATATGTCATTTTGTATATTATGCTGTTAATGGTTTTTAAATTTTGTATGCTGTTGGATTGACTTTTGCTCTTGTTGTAAACCGCGTTGAGTCGCCTACAAGGCTGAGAAATTGCGGTATACAAGCAAAGTAAATAAAATAAATAAATAAATAAATAAATATTTGAAAGGTTATCCCATTGAACATGGATCCAGCTTGTTTTCTGCTGCTCTTGAGACTAGACCACAATGGGGCAATGGATTCAAATGATAGGAAAAGAGATTCCAGGAACCCTTTCACATTACATAATTAGAACATTATGATTTTTCTGTAATTCCAATGGGATCCTGGAGTTTGAAATTTAGAGAGGGAGTGAAATACCATAAAGCCAACAGATCCTGTCTGATCTTGGAATCTTAGCTTGATACATGGATGAGAGACCACCAATGAATGCCAGATGCTCTAGGTTATATTTCAGAGGAAGAAACTGGCAAAACTACCTTTGAGGATTTCTTTCCTAAGAAAACCCTTTGAAATTCAAGGAATCACTATTAGTCACACACATGAACACAAATTTTGACTTCTCAGCTAGAGAATTCTAATCCTTTCCTAAACTACAAACCCAAAGATTCTCTAGGCTGCAGTCATGGGAGTTTAAGTGAAATTGTAGCATTGCAAGTGTGCCCTATGAACGAGGCCCCAAAACATAAGTTGAAATAAGTGCAGAATCCTGTCATTCTTTCTTGGAGGTTGCACAAGAATGTTGTCCTATAGCAGCGCTTCTCAACCTGGAGGTTGGGACCCCAGGGGGGGGGGGGGGGGTCACGAGGGGGGTTTCAAAGGGGCTGCCAAAAGCCATCTCTGCCTGTCCCACTCTTCCATTTTGGAAACAGACAATGAATAATGTATTGTCAAAGGCTTTCATGGCTGGAATCACTAGGTTCTTGTGGGTTTTTTCGGGCTATAGGGCCATGTTCTAGAGGCATTTCTCCTGATGTTTCGCCTGCATCTATGGCAAGCATCCTCAGAGGTAGGAGAAATGCCTCTAGAACATGGCCCTATAGCCCGAAAAAACCCACAAGAACCTAGACAATGAATATTCCACCCTAAAAGCCCCCCTCTTGCTGTGATTGTAGGTGAAATATAAATTCCAGCAACTACAACTCCCAAATGCCAAGGTCTATTTCCCTCAAACTCCATTAGTGTTCACATTTGGGCATATTGAGTATTTGTGCCAAGTTTGGTCCCGATCCATCATTGAGTCCACAGTGCTCTCTGGATGTAGGTGAACTACAACTACAAAACTCAAGGTATATGCCATTAAATCCTTCCAGTATTTTCTGTGGGTCATGGGAGTTCTTTGTGCCAAGTTTGGTTCAATTCCATCGTTGGTGGAGTTCAGAATGCTCTTTACTTGTAGGTTAACTATAAATCTCAGCAACTATAACTCCCAAATGGGAAAATCAATCCCTCCCAACCTCACATCAAATATGGGTGTATCAGGTATTTGTGCTAAATTTGATCCAGTGAATGAAAATACATCCTGCATATCAGCTATTTACATTACAACTCATAACAGTAGCAAAATTACAGTTATGAAGTAGCAACAAAAATAATTTTATGGTTGGGGGTCACCACAACATGAGGAACTGTATTAAGGGGTCACGGCATTAGGAAGGTAGAGAACCACTGTCCTAGAGGCCATCCCCACATGTGAATTTAGTAGTCTGACACAACTTTAACCACCATAGGTTTATCTTATAGAGTTCTGGAATTTGTAGTTGGCACCAGAGGTATCTGACAGAGAAGGGTAAATATTTCACCAAACTAGGAATCTCAAAACTTTGAGCTATGGCAGCTAAACTGTTATAATTCTGCAATGTGAATTCAGCCAGGTGGTCAACAGATGAGAATGAAGCACTGCTACTTCCTTAGCTGATTAGTTGTTATGAATGTAAAATACAACTCCTGCATAGGATAAAGCTGGTGTGGCATTCTACCACATTACCAAGGAGGATTTGAGTCTAAAAATGTGTGTTCTTGTTCCTGAGTTTTTTTGGAGGAGGGGAAGAGGTCTTCCTATTCAACCCATACAAGCAAACTATGTCCAGAATTTCAGACTTGCTAGAGTCAGGTTTTACAAAATTCAAATGCATGGTTGCTAGGAGACAGCCAGATCCTCCATCTCTGGACTGGTCCAAGGTGTTTTGCAGCCTTAGGCACGGAGTTTGGCAGCACGGCTCTGAAAACTGCCATTGTGTCCCAAAGCTCTCCAAATTCTGGAAATGCTCTCTAATTAGAAAGGAGATCATCAACCCTGAAAATCCTGAAGCAGCAGGCAGTCTTGGGCTCATACACTAATTTCTTCATTTACTTATGACATTTACATTTCCCCCTCTTCCATGTGGAACTCAAGGCAGCACACACAAGACTTTCCAAGTAGTGTCTCATCTACTTGGAAAGCTCAGACCCAGAGCTTCTTAGCTTTAGCAGCAGCAGCAGTAAAAAGTAATGGCTTTGATATAATTGGGATCATGAATCCACTCTAGGGTTTTTTTTTTACTGTGCAGTCACCCCTTCACATCCTTGGATATAACTTTAGCAAATTTGATTGAGGAATTAATATGTTATCTCTCAAGATCTCTAGGTCCTCCAATGTGAATGTATGGTCAGCATCCTCCAATGAGATTGTATGTCAACTTCCAACTGAACTTCACACCTTGTGTTGGCTTGTTGGACATGGAAGTCTACCTCATCAGCTGCCTAACTTTCCCTATATATACGAGCCATTCTAGTAATATCCATGTACCTTGTGGCAATTTTACAATGATATCTGGATCCTTCCTGCTTTCCCACAATGATATCAGATTAGGTGCCTGGGTTTCATGCAAAAGTATGCCAATTCCAATCTTCTCAACATGAATGTCAATATGGGATGGGAACTTTTAATGCATTGCAACACCTATTTATCCCCCCCCCCCCAAAGGTTATATCTTCTAAAGGAGACCATCTTCACAAGCAGGAAGTTAATGAAGATATGTTGGAGGCAAAGGGGGGGGGGGATTCATATGCATGGTCAAAGCTTTCATGG